GATTTCCCTGCATTGGGAACGTTGCACATTTTCTCCCAACCTTTTAAACCCTTTCAAAAAAATGTGACACGGAAAGCTTCTTCTGGTGCCTTCACAGGCGATTAAAAAAGGAGGAATTCTCAATTTTTCGACACGTCATCTCATGTCATGATTTTTAGAACCTTCCAAAAAGGTTAAGTGTTGTGTTCACAAATTGTCAGTTCGGGTCTCATATTTTCATGGATTTTGGAACCTTGAATCAAAAAAGTCCCATTGCACATTCTGGCTGATGCGTTCAGTGACGCCTTCTATTGGAGGATTCCTCAGCTTTCTTCAAATTAGTTTCATGTGTTCATGACTTTCAGAACTTGAACAAAAAGTGACGTGGTGTGTTCGCTGGTATTGTCTAGGGGACAAATCTTGAAATTTTATGCTGTCTATTTTCGATGTGAAGCTTTATAAAAAAGTGACATGGCATGCTTTTTGATGTGCTTTCTATGAGAGTAATCCTCTGTTTTTTTTTTTCCACGCTTGCCTCATATTTTTAGGACTTTTTAAAAACAATGCAGACACTGGTCGCTTTATAGATGCAAAATCTTCAATCTTTTTCCAAACTGATTTCTGCTCTCATAACCTTTTCGAATCCTTCCAAATGTGACATGGCAGGTTTTAACTGCGGCATTCACTGATGCTTCTTTTCGACAACTTTCCCAAAAAAGATACAAGTTGCATTTACTGACTCTTTCTTGTGCAGGAATTTGGAGTTCTCTCTTGACTGGTCTCATAATTACTTCTAGAACCTTAAAAGTGAAAAGACACACTTTTACTGGTGCGTTCACTGATGCATTCCAAGAGAGGAATCCTCAGTTTTTTTGGTATTTCCATTTGACTCTTATGCACTCTCGTCTTCTTCTCTTTCAGGATGGTTCATCATTCCCAACATCTGGTAAAGTTTGTGAGCCGCGCTCAACCGAGCTGCTGCCTTGTGCCTCATGTTTTTAACCCTTTACAGTTAGTTCTCTTACTTAAAACGTGCTTGTACATTGTGTTCGTGTACTTGTCTTGCAAATGTCCAAGCATTTGTGTTTTGGGCATTAGTTGGGATCTGTCAACACCCCCCCCCCAAAAAAAAAAAGAATAATAATACAAGTCCAAGAGTTTAGCTGCTAAAAGTGGTGATGAAAGGGGGTGGAAGCTTTGAGATCCCTGCTGGAATTGTCGTTACCGTCCTCGAATGTGAGGCTGGAAGTAGGAGGTGGCAGAGAAAGACAACTGAAATGAAGAGAGTGTGTGTGTGTGTGTGTGTGTGTGTGTGTGTGTGTGTGTGTGTGTGTGTGTGTGTGTGTGTCTGTCTGTCTGTCTGTCTTATGGAGGAGCTAGAAGTAAAAAAAAAAAGCAAAAGCAAAAATAGTTTTGTTTCTGTGAAGTAAAAGAGAGAGAGAGAGAGAGAGAGAGAGAGAGAGAGAGAGAGAGAGAGAGAGAGAGAGAGAGAGAGACAGAAACTGGAAAAAAAAGTCGATGAGTCATCCTCTCCATCCAGCTGCAGGGACAAAAATGCTGCGACTTTTGTGTGGACAAAAGTATTGGGACACAGCCCTTTGTCAATAACTTCCCTATCGATTGTAAAGGGGCGACAATTATCTGCCTTCTTCCCTTTTGCTTCTCGAGGCATTCGTGGATGATGTTGGTGTCGTGGAACAGTTAAAAAAATTTTTTTTCTTTCGTCTCAAATATCTCGAGAGATTCAAGGAATGCGACGTGAAAAGGGGGAATGGACGTGACGGCGTTGCATTTCATCAGGCAGAAAGATTATTTGTTTTTCATGACTATTATTAACCCTTTCATGCAAAACTGTCACCTGATAACATGTTAAGCTGTCCACTGTAGTCAGCGCTGTCGCCAATAGGGCTCAACTAGAGCAAGAAAAAAAAAAGAGACTATGTCTGAAACATCCAGGGCAATACAAGTACAACACACCTGCATGTGTGGCATTTACTTGCGCTTCCTTGGGGTCCAATCCTTCATTTTTCCACCAAAATGGCCTCATATTGAGAGGAAACGTGACATGTCATCTTATGGGGCGGTTACGGGTGGTTTCTCGAGGAGGAATCCTTGGTGTCCTTCAAGTTTGCCTCATTTTATCATGATTTTTAGAACCTTAAAAAGTGACATGGGAAACTTGTCAAATTGCCTCTGATATTGCAACTTCAAGAACTGCCAAAAATGTTGTTTTAAAAAACAAAAATGCGTGGTGCATTCCCAGGAACTTTCCAGAGACCTTAAGTCTCTCTCAGCAGGCGTCATTCATATTTTCAGGTTTAAAAATGACAACAACAAAAAAAAGAAGGTTTTACTGATGCATTCACTGCAATTTTGAGGGAAGGAATCCATGTTTTTTTTTGTCTTATTCGCGTCATATTTTCATGAGCTTTTGAGCCTTCAAAAATGTGAATGTTGAGGAGTTTCACAACCGATTGGACATATCCTCATACGTACACTTTAAATATCAGAAACATCGTCAATGGAAGTTGCCACGAAAAAAAAAGCTTTGCGTTCCCTCGACTTGAAACAATTTTGTGGGTCCGAGACCAGAGTGAGAGCTGATCATCTGCGTGCCACATGTGATGAGAAATGCTCTGCACGGCAGCCTCGGCCCGACGTTGTCGTTCACGTTTCGCCATCTTAACGTGTTTGCAAGTGTGGTTGTTTTTACAGAGGGGCGGGAGGGGTCACATGACAATCCAATGCCGCCATGTTTTTTGGACCTGGGAGACTCCCTCCAGGGCAAGACAGGGAATCTTGAGCGACGTGTGCGCACCATCTGGTTTTATAGTTGATCACTGAGGTCAGGTATGCAAAATGTTTTTTTTAAACCACACGTTAAAATAGACATCTACAAAAAAATATTTAAATTCAAAAACATTTATTTATTCATCCATCCAGTTTTTTTTTTTTTTTTTTTAAAGAAATGTATTCTAGGGCCTGACCATCAAATCAGCTGGTTATCATCAGTTATCAGAATATTTTTTTTTGACAAATATCAGAGTCAGCCTCAAAATACCCATATTGGTCATATATATTGTATGCAAGCGAGAGAGAAATTTGACATATTTTGGAATCATTTATAATATGGATACATATTCATGATGTAATAGAATATAATAGAATGGAATGAAATACAATAAAATGTAGCATTTTTCAATTCCCCCAGTGGTTGACTTCTTTTTACACTTGAACGGCAGTTAAAAATGGGAAAATGGAATGAAATACAATAAAATTTAACATTTTTCAATTCCCCCAAGTGGTTGACTTCTTTTTACACTTGAACGGCAGTTAAAACATGTGAATCAAAACATTGCCTGTGTAGTAATTACGAATTAATGTGAAGTGAAACATGAATCGCTCCTTCTCAGTGTACTCTGTGAAATGGTGAGATGACCGTATTGGGTGAATTCTTCATATTTTTTCCCCCCTTCCCAGTGAGCAGCAACAACTTGTGAGCATGTGCAGTAGAAGAAATAGAAGACGACGACGAAGAAGAAAGCTGAGCTGCTGCAGCTCCACTTTGTTGAGCAGTCGAGGAGGAGGAGAAGAGAAAAAAAAAAAAAAGGTGACCTCAATGAAGAAGAATGCAATGTGGTCTCCTCTCCCTCCCCGAAACATCCAAGCAGCAAAAATGACTTTTCCCCTTTTTCTGTAAGCACAGACCATCAAAGTCTTTCACTTTTTGTTGGAAGTTCCTGTAGAGATTGTCACTTCTCTCCAAGTAAACACTCAAGAGATCAACATGGCGATAGCACTTCCTATTGCTCCCTTTTCTTTTTTCCTTTTTTTTTGGGGGGGGGGTGGTAGTTTGGCTTTAATTGCCATGCATTTGCACAAATCTCTCTACTTTTTCCTTTTCCACGCATGATGAAGAATCCCGGTGCCCGCCACATGTTGGAAAAGCAACTCGAGGGAGGAGGAGGAGGAGCTGAAATTTATGCTCTCCTCCTGGGTCACCCTGCATAAGCAGGGCTAACGCGTTTCACATGTTGCTGGCGGTGCGGGCTGGGCCGCTGACGACGTTTCGCCATCTCTCTTCCCGATCTGTAGGCCCGTGTTTACTTCCCTTCCCAGGGTCAAGCCCAACCCCAGCACCATCAGGAAGTGTGTCACCCATCATTGGCGGACGGGCAACAAACAATACAGTGTCAAGCACCTTTTAATTTGACAGTATAATGCACTCTGTACTGAGGGGTGGGCCATCCATAGATGAGGTTAAAAAAATTATACAATTTTTATTTTCATAATGTATTTTATTTTAATAATAAAGAAATAATATTACACACTATATATACACCATTTTAAAGCATTTTACGAAATATTTTCATGGCTAATCATTTCTATTTTTTTAATCCATTCATCTCATCAAATAATAATTGATTTCTTTCCAAAAATACAAAAGGAGTATTTGCAAAATGTAAAATGCACAACGTCACTGTTCTCGACTAAATTGGTTTTCGACCATATATTCGAGACTTTTTACGCCTCAGATTCCGACCGAAAACCAGTTTTCGACCAAACTGAGCAAACTCAAATACGCTACTTGACTCTTCTCAGCTTCCTTACGCGAGGAAGTGACGTAGCGTTAATTGTGAGAAGACGTGTTTGTTGTGATTTATGCAAATCTGTCTGTTTTTGTGTTCTTTCTGCATTGTGTATTAGCCCCTAATCATGGGCTAATGAAAACGTTTCAGGTTTCGAACAAATCGCTTTTCGAACAGCCTTATGGAACGGATTATGGTCGAAAACCGAGGTATGACTGTAAATTGGCTTTCATTCTATGTGATAATATTTTGAATCAATTAACCAATTGTTGAATGAGGTAAATGCATTGACAAATCTATTGCATTTTGCAAAAAAGCGACTGCAATTTAATTCCTACTCGCAATAGCTAGCAGCAGAGTGTCAGCTAACATTGATGGTGTCTTTGTAATGTTCCATAAAATGACAAGTTATTGTCACTGCCTTGACTTGCTGCCATGAGCCACCTTTAGCACGTGCATGCTGTCATTAAAAAATAAAAAAGCTGTAATGTATTCATCTTTCAGGGTGTGGACGGCATCTGTGCACCTGGATGGATCCTGGCACCGGGTTCGCTGTTGGAGCTGCAGAAATTTGAACTGAGGTGGGCGAAATCACGCATGTGTTAAATTATTATGAAAATAGCCCAAAAAGAATCACACTTTTTTTTCCCCTCAGCACTGTTAGATTATGAAATATTAGAAATTATTTTATGTCACAGTGTCATAAATAGCTAAAAAAAAAAAAAAAGAAGCTTTTAATCATGTCGCTAAAATGTCCACATTCTTATTCGTGAATGAATGGTCACAGCAGTGTGCCAGCGAATGTGTATGTCTGAGTTCTGTGCATTTTGCACCAAAAGGGAGAGTTCAACAAACTCACTCCAAAAATAAAAGTCAAATTAGAGGGTTGCAGCGTTCACTGGAGGGGAAAAAAAAAAAAAGGCCACTGGGTTTGGCTCTTGGCTTCACACACAGAACCGCTGCAATGCTCCTTGTCCGGTCTTGTGTTCCTCCTCCTGTGCTGGGATGAGTTTCCTACAAGAGCAGCGAAGAGCGAAAACGTCTGCAAACAAGATGGTGAAGGCTTCTCCTTTGAGTTTCAATTTTAAAATAGGTTGAGAACATATCCAACAAGTTAACGTTTGGTTGGGATCTGTCTGACTATCCCGCCTTGACTTTTGACGCCTGTGCTGTAATATTTAATTCAGGATATAAAATCAGAACCCTTGAGGGATAAGACAATCCTCTCCCTCTCTGAGAGAAACTGTCAGCGTTTGGATTCCCGAACGCAGAAATGTCTTCCAAACACTGTTCACTGAGCTTCTCCGCTGTCCTCTGCCTAACAGCTATTCCAGTCCCATCAGTGGTCTGCAAAGACAAAGCCGTGAAAAAGTATCCAGTGGTGACAAAACCAGATGTTTGGTGGATGCTACGTCCCCAGCAAAACATTATCCCGGCTGCGGCCTACAGCCTGAGATCGATACTCTCTCAACCGGCTGGACATGTTCCTCAGTTGCATTATTGGATTTGTAGCTTAAACGATTTGTGCAGGTTGTCAGTGTTGTGAGTCCTTGTCAGTGCCCTGCATTTATAATTTTTTTCTGCCGTTAAGATCAAGGGATTTATTATTTTTTTGTGTGTAATTTGGGTGGTTTCTGCATCCCTGGGTCTTGCTTGGGGCCCTTCACAAATTGTACATGGAGGTGGGAGTGGAGGTAGGCAGGCAGGCAGGCCTGATAACTAAATTGAATTGCATGATAGCATTTTATGGTAGCACAAGTTTAATATGGAAAAGTGTGGCCCCCTTTCGTCAACGTTGTTCAGCAATTTTTATGGTAGTGATGTCATCTTTGGTGACTGGGCATTTGTTTTTGTTTGATTTCACCCGGTCGAATAACCCCCCCCCCCACCCACCCCCGTCTTCTTCCTCAGGTATCCAATCAATCAGTCCCTAACCTTATGTCTCCTCATTTGAGCCTCCTTCGTTCCGTATTTATCAGGGAGTACCTACCATCCATGTTGGGATTCTTTATCCTCAGTGGCGATTCTTGTCGTGGTTCCGGTCTTGGTTTTCCGTCTCGACATTTGGTCCACATGCCTCCCACACTGTGCCAGACCAGGACAATGTCCTCTGACTGGCATTGTAGCTTTTATTAGCATCATGGTCTTAATTGCAAAAAAAAATGTACTCTTTGGTCGTTTGTCATGTATTAGCTTCTGATTCAAACTGAGCTAAGATCACTTTGCCCCTGGGGGATATGCAGTGGCGCTTCATAAAGAGGTCCACATGCTCATGGGTAAGCTGGCCCATAGCCAAAATTGTGTGGTTTTTTTTTTTCTTTTCTACGGATTGACACAGAAAAAGACGTAGCCACGTAAACCTTGACTCCCCGCCGGTCTGTCGGCTGCTGTTTGGTTTTTTTTTTTTCTACGGACTGACACAGAAAAAGACGTAACCATGTAAACCTTGACCCCCCACCGGTCTGTCGGCTGCCGTTTGGGCTAGCATTGCATGTAGAAACACATTACTTGTCTTTACGGGAAGCTGACATGACTTCCTGCTAACTAGCGTACTCGATGGTGTAGAAGATTTACAGATCGCAAGTTGGTGATGCAAAGGCAGAATTATAGCCAGATCCCCTGAAGGAGACTTTTGAGTCCTTTGTCTGGTCGAAAACCTGGTTTTGTAAACATGGTCTATAGATTCGGTCACTTTTCGAGGAAATCATGATCGATTGAGTCATCGGACATCACGCCAAGTGTATTCATGTAGCAGTCTCATCAGCTTTTGCGCTTTCCGTATTTCTGCCGTTAAGGGATCGGATTGTCACCAGACCTGAACTGCGCGAGACTTGCTTTGAACTGTTTTCACGAGTCTGTTTACTGTTTTCAGACTTGATGAAATGTACTTTCCGTATTTCTGCCGTTAAGGGATCGGATTGTCTCCAGACCTGAACTGCGCTCGACTTGGTTTGAACTGATTTGGTGTTTTCACAAGTCTGTTTACTGTTTTCAGACTTGATGAAACGTTTCATCTGAAAAAGGAAAATGACCTTGTTGTTTGAGTAAAATACATATTCATGTGTGTGTGTGCATTTCATAATGTGGGTTTTTAGAGTCAATTTCCCCTTTAGTGAAAAAGGAAAATGACCTTGTTGTTTGAGTAAAATGGTGCATTTCATAATGTGGGTTTTCGAGTCAATTTCCCCTTAAAGCACCATGACAACTTTACCATTCGGTGTTCACGCTTAATTAGGCTTGGATCTAAATTTGATTCTGAACAGGGCAATAAAAGTCCTAACAGTCAAAGTAAGCCATTGAAAATTGTTTGGATTTAACATTTTTATTTTCAGAGTTCCTGACACTCCCATGAATCCAAGTTTGGCATTATAACGCCCCAATGGCAGGGTGTTGGGGCACTGCTAGTGCGTAGTTTGCACAAAAAAATCATCAGCGTGTATTATCGCATCGATGATTTTAGAAGCCAATGGAAGTAGATAATCAAAGGTCAGGCTTCCCTGGTGGGGGTCATATGACTTGCAGCGGCATCAGCTTGAGAAAAATGAAAGGGATAGAAACAGTTTGAAGTGCTGCTAGCCTAACTTCACTTCTGGGTGTGGCCACAATGAATCAGTTCAGAAGTCAGGAAGAAAGAATCGGAGAAACCCGCAAGATAAGTCGCAGAAAATCTTTTTCTTTTGGAGTGCTTTAAGGAGAGGCCCGTCATGCATGCGTCAGGAAGTGTGTACAGATATGAAGGTGTTCCTCAGGGTTTTATCTGGATCACACTAAGGAAACACCACATTCAGAGGGAGAGAAGTGACACGAGGAGCCGAACGTCTCCTGGCGGCTGCCGAGCATTAAAACGGCTCGAAGGCGTCCACGTCACATTGTTTTTTAGGAGAAAGGAGGGGAGGGGCTTGGGCTTGGTGATGCCAGCTTCTCATTGGCTGCGGCCCGTTGCCCAAAGATAGGCAACTGTCACGTGGCACTTGAAGGATGTCTACTGGCTGTGTTAGCAAGCCAGTGAATGTTTGTTTTCCCCCCCCCCCCCCCCCCCCCCCCCCCCCTTCCCCCCAAAATTTTTTTTTTTTTTTTTTTTTTTTTTTGCTCCTCCCGTGTCCACGTCTGCAAGTACAAGAGGAGGTGCTCTGCCTCTCATTAGCGTTGCGTTTCCCAGGCCTGCCACATCCACAAAGGGAGTGTGCAGGGATGAGGAGGGAAAGAAAAAAAAAAAGGAAGAACACAAA